AAAAAAAAAAAAAAAAAAAAAAAGTTGTGTGTGTGCATATCTACTTCTTATTTGATGATACACACACAAATGTTTGTAGTACACAAAAACACGAGTTAGAAGCAAAGAAAAAGGAGGGACCAATAGATTACCTTCTCATCCATTATGATTGGTATGTTGAAGAGTTGAACGACCATCAATCACAAGTGAAAGAAATCCTCTTGCAACAAAGCTTGAGAGGATGATAAGCAAAACGTTAGAATTGGAATATAGAATACAGAATATTGAATAGGGGTAGTTGAAGGGGTGAGTGAAATGAAAGAAAATCAATTCATTTATATATTATTCTGCAACCTTTGGCGCCTTACTTTATTCAATAATTCCTCTACATGTAAAGAAAAGTGGCCAAAGTAGGGTCTTAGTTCTGAGTAAATTGTTCAATTCAACTCCATGTGTTGGAAATATTCTAGCGTGATGTGATCTATTTAACGAGAATAATTGGTTTGAACAGTTTCACGATGCGCCATTCTTTCTAGTTTCTATAATGTAATGCCTCTCGATGTCAGCACGATGACATCACGTTTTCTCTTCATCATAGTGTCTCCAACGTGTTCCAAGGTACAAACATAACTCCAACAACTCTTTTGATTATTAATTAGGCGCTATTCTGTACACACGAATGAATATATATATATATATATATATATATGAAGGGTTATAATAATACTAGTGTAACTTTTATTAAATATTATATCACTTAATAATTTTATATTAATTGTAAATTTTGTAAATTTAACCGTTAGATTAAAAGTTCATATTACTTTATATGTATATGTTAAATTTTGTTAAAATTGAACTACAGCTCGAAGGTAATCAACGTGTTCATATTTTATATTTTGAAATAAATATATTACGTTAATTTTGTTTTATAAGAATGAAGTATCAAATCATTGTGGATTAATATAAAATTTTGTATATATGATTTAAGAATAAAAAACTTTCAATCTAACGGTTGAATTTACAAAATTCACATTTAATATAAAAGTTATTAAGTGATGTAATATTTAGTAAAAATTACACTAGTATAATTACAATCCCTCATATATATATATATATATATATGAAAAACATTTCATCTTATTTCATTCAATTATATCATCATAATTTTGCAACAAGCAAACATTATTGTAAAGGTAAAATACAAGTATCTAGATACCAGTTTGTATTTCGCATGGTCTACGAATTTGACGACTCAAGACTATGGTAACACTTATAGTCATCTAGAATTTGCTTAGAATAATGTGAACAAAATCCAAGAACAGTTGCGGCTGAAAATGAACATGAGGCGCATTAGATTTTCCCCTCAACCCTTTTTATGAACTCATCAAAGAATATTTGATTTTAATTTGTGGTTGATTTACACATATCATTTGTTGCAATATATAATTTAACAATTCATTGAAGAAGAAAAGACAAACTATCTTCATCCATCAAAATTAAAACTAACCCCTTCTTCTTTTTTTTGGAGGGTGTTTTTCTCTCTCTAAGATAAACTATCTTCATCCATCAAAATTAAAACTAACCCCTTCTTGTTTCTTTTGGAGAGTATTTTTCTCTCATTCCAATTTCTTTATTTGTTTTTGTTTTAACCATCTTTAGTGTCATCATATTTCATATATTATCCGCTTTAATAATATTTATTAGAGTGTTATGATTTTATCTTTAAAAAGAATTTCTTTATAAATTAAAGAAGAAAAATATTTATAAACTACTTTTAATCTAAAAATAGAATTGTGATAATCATACAAATATAAAAATAAACAATACTTCAGATACGATGACTCTAATATTAATAGACTTAAAGTTAGAACAACATTATTTTAATTCAAGTAGATGTTTAAATGAATTTTTTTTTGTTGAATCAAGATATTCTCTGAAAAGTTAATTTATAATTTTGAAATTTTACAAAAATTTATAAACTTAGATCTATAATTAACGATTACCCACCAAAGTTCAGTATAAAACGAATTATTAATAAGATAATTAAGTATATTATAACTTTAAAGTAAGTAAATCTTTCCATATAAAAGACGTAAGTATCAAAACGATTGATAGTTAAAATAAGTGTTAAATGATTAAATATTAATTATATACAGTCAATAAATTACAGTATCCCATATGCATATTGCTATAATTGAGTTATCTAATTTGTGAATGAAACACGTTTGGACATGATTAAGAAAATGTTGTATATATACAGTGTGGTGTAGCAACATGATATGATATCCATAGAGATGTTTGGAGTCCCCACTACTATACTATAGTGGCTGTATATTATTTCCATTTTCACCGGCGGCGCAACGAAAAAGTCTTTGTTTACACTGAAATTTCATTTGTCTGGGAATTTGGAAGTCATAAACGACAAATCATATTTATATTCATATTTACTAATACTTAGTTGAATACAACCCATGCACGTAACTTATCTTGACTTCAACTCCCCTATCCTATCCCCACTCATCATTCTATTCCACTTTCTTTTACATGCCACCACTGGTTCCATCGTGCCAGACTCAAATTTCCACATAAAAAGTTGTCCGTTTGAAAATAAATTATGAGATTATAAAATATGTTTATTTCTGATCTATCTTAAAATGGATCGACATATAATTAGACATTGTAAAATACATAATAGAAAATTTCTATTTAATTTTATTGTGTATGAAAATTAATCTGATTAACAATAGTTACAGAATTATAAATGAGATGCTTTTAGTCTACTAGACTAAAGTTTCTATGAACCACTAGAGTTAGTATAGTGGTTGGATGGGGAGAGGTTAGGGTAGTTAGAAGCATGAAGACCTATGTTCAATTCTCATTATAATCATCTTTGTAATCTTTCTTATCTTTAAAAAAAAAAAAAAAAAACTAAAGCTGCTATTGTGATGTAATTTTTTTTTTTAATATATGATAGAGAAGTTACAAAATTTATTGATTATTTGCAGACTCATTTCTGTTCATAGCAGTCCATGACTGGCTGTATAGATTTTGACATCTAACGCTCATGAATATTAATTATATCAATTATTTAAAGGTTTTAGAACCTCTAAATTTGTTTTTTTTGTTTTTTTTTTTTTAAATTTTATTTTTGTAGATCTACAATTTTGATTTTCTATTTTAAAATAAAGATATTTAGTTTTTTATTTTATAAAATATAAAATTTTGATCTTTTTATCAATTTAATATTTGTTTATCTTAAATTTTGATGTTATATGATGATTTATCACCACTTAAATAATATGATATTTAGTGATGTGATGTATATAGATAAAAATTAAAAATAACATACAAAAAAATCTTGATTTATTTTATGAATAATTAATATTTATTTTATTAATAGATATCTTATTTGTATTTTTTTTTCTAATTTTTTTACTTCTAAGTTTCATGTCATTAAATATCATATTATTGAAATATGAGTAAACATTAAATCTTAGTGATTAATAGATGTTAATTTGATAAGAGGACTAAAATTTTGTATTTTAAAATTAGAGTACTACATATCTCTATTTTAAAATAGAGAGAATAAAATTAAGGATTGATAAAAATATAGGAAACAAATTAGTACAATTTAACCTTGTATTTTTATCTTACACAAACAAGCATAATATTTCAATAAAATTAAAATTTATTGATTATGAAAATAAATATGAAGTACGTTATCTCTTGATATATATATATATATATATAGAA